TGTGAGTGAGATGCCTAGTGATCTTCTGTGCTTTTAGTAGTGCTATGCTTGACTCCTTGTGATACAATTTGATGACTGGAATTCAGCTGAATTCATATTCTCTGGTAGATGTTCCTAGGAGCTATTTTGTTCTGTGGATGATATATAAACGTTCAGAAACTGACTGAACTGTCAAGTTCCTTGATCCTTCTGGAGGATTTTTTAAAGAATAAGCATACTGATGCGCCATGTTAGGGGTCACTTAAGCCTTTTCTGCTGATGACAGCTCTCATGTGTATGTGTGTGTGTAATGCTTACCAGCAGATTTTCTTCATTGCATTTTTTTTCAGTGCCCCTAATGTCACATAGAAATTCTGTTTTCATTTTGTTTTGTTATTAGAGCTATTCGGCTAATTGAAAAGGAGACAGAAAATAGATGTCCACGCCTACAGACCCTGGTGCCATGCCTCATCCTGGCCCTTCCCCTGGACCAGGACCTTCACCTGGACCGATTCTAGGACCTAGCCCAGGACCAGGGCCATCTCCTGGCTCAGTACACAGCATGATGGGGCCAAGTCCTGGTCCACCCAGTGTCCCGCACCCGATGCCGTCAATGGGGCCTACTGATTATCCACAGGAAGGCATGCATCAAATGCATAAGGTAATAGTTTTATTTTATTTTATTTTTTTTTTTACAAGTGAACCTTTCTCCCCAAGAGATCTCTCCATTGATAAAAAGCATACTTATACTACACTTAAACCTGTATAAGACCTGTTCTACTTCACGTATGTATCACCTGCAAAAATGCAGCTACAATCTTAATTCTGTCTTAATTACTAAAGATAATGTATATATCAGAGTAAACACAGCTGGATTGTTTTTGGTAGACTAATTGGAACTACGGAGTTAGCAGTTTTGCAAATTTTCACTTGTCAACTGTACACTTTTCAGTAGGATAGGCCGTGCCAGAGAATAAATTTGTAATGTAACACCATTCCAACCCCTGTTTTTTGTAATTAAATGAATTATCTTGTAATTTTTTTGCTTTCTTGTGGTCTTTTTGGAAACATCTTGCTACCACATTGCATATTTTCTTGGATTTTTTTTGTTTTACATGAAAGTTGATCTTTTAAAAAATTAATCTTAAAATACTTATGTTTACAAATTTGTTTAATCTTTCTTGTTGATGGAAAAGTTTGTTTCCAAATTAATTTACATAGGCTCCATCTCATTAGGGAATTTAACACTATGTAATTTAGAACTTCTGAGTAATCTGACTTCTGTTGCTGTTGTCATATACTTAAAGTTACAAGTGCGCTTACAGTTACAACTGTCAGCGTCTTTTGCTTTGAGGAAGTATTTTCCTGTCTAGCATATTTCTTTGAGACCATTCTATTAAATATTCACATTTTATTTGATTGTGAAGCAAAGCTTTACAGTTTATGATAATTTTAATTTCACTTTACAGAACAACTTATAGAGCCAAGATATTAGTTCAGAACATCTTGGTAACTACTGTTGGTGCTACTTGGTATTGCTGAAAGCACATGTAGAAAACTTCAAATAATAACCAAAATGAACTTTAAAATAATTTTTTAAAAGCATTTTAATTTTTCTTCTTCTGAATTGGCAACTTCTTCAAGTTGCCACTTTCATGTCCGCATTAGTTTTAAGTCATTAAAACAGTGATTGTTGTCCAGCCAGTGAGGACACAACACTATCATCTTTTGCCTGAAAAACAATATCATTAAAACTTTTGATAGCATAAAGACAGCTGAAGTGATGAGGAACTATGATCCAGCTCCCCATTTGTGCTAAACTGTTGAAACTGTAATCTCTGAGAGGTCAGCACATTCAATACTTAAAATTTTACGTGTGAATCTTGAAGTATGTGATTTAGTTGCTAGCCAGATTAGACATTTGCAATTGGCATTTCGTTGTTTATGGAGTCAGTTACAGCCCAAGTGGCCTGTAGTCTGGTGAATTCCTAAGAATTCACAGACAGCCAGGGTTTACATCACTCAGCTCTCTCAGTTGTTTCTGTTTTGAGAGATTCTACAGCTGCACAAAAGAAAGGCGGCAGCATGAAATTTGCAGGAGGATAGCTGAATACTCCATACTTTATCTTTATACTCCATATCTTTAACTGCTATATCCTATTTTACCTTGTGTGTTCCTTAGCAGATGTATGCTATGTCAGCATTAGGAGAAAAAAAAAAAAAGATACCATCCTACAAAGTTCTTCTAGAGAGTCTAGGAGCATCTGAGATGTTCTGTGAACCTGAGTAGAAGTTCTCCCATTGTAATAACTCAAGG